TTGAGCAGTGGGCTGGACTAGAAGACCTCCAAGGTCCCTTCCAGCTCCTAATCTATTCTAAAAGTTGGAAAAACTACACAATGTCTTTTGATAGGTAGAACTAGGAATTACCCATCTGGATGTTCAGTTGAAGTTACTTTCCCTTCCATTCGTGGTCTCCAAGAGTTGCCATTAGAAAAAGGAATAATTAAAAAAAGGAAGTTGCCTAAAGACTAGAGAAAAAGGTCAACGAGACAATTGAGATGTTTCCAAGGATTTTTCTTGGTGAAAGCAAAGGAGATGACAAAATAGAATAACCCAGAAGTCTCTGCCCCACGAATAAATTCCCTTTTTATGACCTTGTAATCCTTTAGTTTGGGGTGGAGTTGGAGCAACTGGATGTTGCTGAGCATTTACTGGCCAGATGCCCTTCCTGATGCCTACACAGGGTTCACAGCAGATATATTCTCTTTGTACCCTGATAGAGAAACATCTGTTGCTACCTAGGATTGAACTCTCAACTTCCAGGTTGGAGGCGAGAGTCTTCCTCACTAGCTACCACTCCTCTCATATTTATGGTCCACAAATAGGGGCCAGAAATAGCTTAATTTCTTGTCAAGATGGCTTACCACCAGTTCAGTGAGATCCACGTTGAACCCTCCTTTTGATACGAGCATCTGGAGCACCGAGGAAAGGAGGTCGAGGGGAAGCATCAGCTGAGAAGTACGGTCCATCGCAGGAGGCAGAGGCAAAGAGGTGTTTTGGGCTCCAGGAAGATCCACAGGTTGGCCATTGTGGTTGGTCATCATAAGCTGTAAAAAGATCAAAGGTCAAGAGAGAATTTATTGGCGAGCACAAAACCAACCATCAGATAAGAGACTGCACAGCCCATAGATGTATAACGGGTGTGGGAAAAAGAGGCTCAGGAGAAACCCTGAGTTACTCAGGTTGTAAAGGAGACCGTGGGAGATTTGTACTTTCAGACGTGGAAGATTCTGTTAATGGAGCTTTAGGGAACAGTCACAAAGAAAGGTCACAGCCCGTAGTTGCACAATGGGTGGGGGGGGAAGAGGCTAAGAAGGGACCCCCACCCCTAGTTTCTCAAGCTGTAAAGGAGACGGTGAGAGATTTATACTTTCAGATTTTCAAGATTCTGTTAATGTAGCTTTGCAATCAAGGATAATTCATTTACAGATAGTCCGTGACTTAGAACTGGGTTGCACAGCAACTATTCAAAGTTACGACCTGCTGGAATAAGAGAGTTGCGACCCAGTTCCGATGGTCACTCCCTGGTCATGTGGCTGCACCTCAGACATTTCATTTTCATTTTATTTCATTTCATCAGACATCAGCAACACGGCTACATTTACGGCTGTTTGCAGTGTCCCCTGGTCAGGTGACTGTATTTTTACGACAATTTAGCCCCAAACTGGAAGTTACTTCTGGTTTTCAGCAAAACCACAGCTTAATGGCCAGTGGATTCGCTTAACAACCGTGGATTTCATTTAATGACTGTCACTTTTGTTCGAAGACCACCGCATTCACTTAATGAGCTCCTAAAAATATTGTAAAATCAGGACAGTCATTATAGTTGTATGTCAAGGACTACCTGTATCTGGTTGTGCTTCCTGCCTGGTCTACCTGAAAAGCTCCTTCTCTACCCCAGAGGCAAAAGGCAGAAAGGACACACACCCATTTTTGACATGTTAATTCCCTTTAGGTCTCCATCTCCAAGCTGGCTAGTTGTTCTGACCCGGCTTCCCCAAACACGACAAACCCTCTGAAGTGAACTCAAAAGATTCCTTTATTAGGAGCCCCGGCAGCCCCGGCAAAAAGTTTCTCTCTCACCGCAGGTTAACAAGTCTGTCCATCAGGGAGATGAATAATTGTCTGCCACATCTATCCATCTCTGCCCCCTGCCTTTTATCCCCAAATAAAAGGGGAGGGGGCTTCTCTAGCAGCAGTAGCTCTTCCATCCCAAGGACCAGCTCATAGATTTCCACTGCTCTCCTCTCCTGTGCCTTCTGAGCATCAGGCACTGGACCCAGCTGTTCCTCCTCCTCCTCATCGGCCACCTCCAGACCTCCTGGGGGCTGTTGACTCTCCATCTGAGGGCTGATGGACTGCCCAGGCTCTGTCTCTCTCTCTCTCTGTCTCTCTCTCTCTCTCTCTGTCTGTCTGTCTCTCTCTCTCTCTGTCTCTGTCTCTCTGTGTCTCTCTCTCTCTCTCTCTGTCTCTCTCACTCTCTCTCACTCTCTCTCTCTTTCTTTCTCTCTCTCTCTGTCTCTCTCTGTCTCTCTCTCTGTGTCTGTCTCTCTCTCACTCACTCACTCTCTCTCTCTTTCTCTCTCTCTCTGTGTCTCTCTGTGTCTCTCTGTGTCTCTCTCTCTCTCTCTGTCTCTCTCACTCTCTCTCTCTTTCTTTCTCTCTCTCTCTGTCTCTCTCTGTCTCTCTCTCTGTGTCTCTGTCTCTCTCTCACTCACTCTCTCTCTCTCTCTTTCTCTCTCTCTCTGTGTCTCTCTCTGTCTCTCTGTGTCTCTCTCTCTCTCTGTCTCTCTCTCTGTCTCTCTCTGTCTCTCTCTCTCTGTCTCTCTGTGTGTCTCTCTCTCTCTCTGTGTCTCTCTCACTCTCTCTCACTCTCTCTCTCTCTCTTTCTCTCTCTCTCTGTGTCTCTCTCTGTCTCTCTCTGTGTGTCTCTGTCTCTCTCTCTCTCTCTCTCTCTCTCTCTCTCTCTCTTTCTTTCTCTCTCTCTCTGTGTCTCTCTCTGTCTCTGTCTCTGTCTCTCTCTCTGTCTCTCTCTCTCTCTCTCTGCCAGCTCCATTCCCTCTTCCCCCTCAGGTTGCCTTAATGCTGGCCCTGATCCTCATCTGATTCAGCTGCTGGAGGGGCCGGTGGCTGACAGGCCCCAACAGTAGTTCACAAAATTGAATTGTATTTGCTAGAAACTGGAAAGGTGAGAAGATACCCACGGATGACGACGTTATCAAGAAAATTTTGGAGTGTGCTGAAATGAGTAAATTGACATTTGAAATTAGGGAACAAGAAGATAAACAATATTATTTGATATGGGATTTATTTTATCAATGGTTTGACAAGAAAGAATGGAAATGAAATATGAAATGGGTAAGATAATAAAACATATAAAGGGTTTTTTTCCCCCCCTTATAGAGGACAATTTACTGGTAAATAATTGGTAAATGAGAATAATACTGTAATAAACTGTTAAATAAGAAAATGTTGGATAGAGGATTAAGCACAAAAGATTTGTAACCGATCAATACACTTTCTGTAATTGTAATGGATGATAATTGTTTTATGTTTTAAGTTTTGTTTAAAAATATTTTTTTTTCCAAAAAAACAACAACAAAAAAACAGTAGTTCACAAAACATGATTGACTGGGGAAGTTAGATTAGTTCAATTAGTTAATTGGATTAAATTAATTAAATTAATTAAATTTAAAATTTAAATTTAATAAAATAAACTAGCTAGTAACTAATTAGTTAATCCCAGAGCTGTTGGATTAATTAACTCCAAATGTGGGCTTAATTATGTGGGTTAAGGCACACTCAACAGTGCAACCTTAAACATGTCCACCAAAAAGCAAATCTCGCTAGGTTGAGGAATTTTTATTTTCAGGAAAACTGTCGGAGAAGGAGTGGCAGAAACTGCAGGCGGCGTCAAAAGAGAATCCGCCTAGAATCCCTCCATAGTCACAAGCAATCTAAAGCCAGCCCTCCTTGAATTCCATGGACCCTTATCTAAATCTGAGCAAAGGCCAACCGTTTGTTGAGAAGATTCCTGGACGTAGACGGTTTTGCAAATAAATGAGTTAATTTGAACTTATTGTGGACCCCATCGAAATTGGTCTAGGATTGCAATCGGAGGAAGCCACGCGGGGAAGAAGAAATTCAGATGTTGGAGACAAGCAGGAAACAGGCCTTACGTTTAGATTCAGAACGATGTGCTGATCCTTGAACAGTGGCAAGCCAGCCAGAGTGTAATGCAGATGTCCAAGAATGCCGAACGGACACACACCTGTCAGGGATGAGGCAAAAAGGGACTGAGAGGGGGAAAAAACACAACCGCCAAGCCTATAGGAAGTCTCTTAGAGGGCCAGTGTTGTACATGCTCCAGCTGCGAGGATATGGCTAGTCCTCAATTTACGACCAACCTTTAAGTTTCTAGGTTCTATCACATCTCAAGCGCTCCCGCTGCGAACTGGTAGTAAAGGTAAGTGGAACCCACCCTTGCCCTATACCATTTGTCTGAAATGGGTAGGGTCTCCTGACTGGGTGGGAGGTTGGACTAGAAGACCTCCAAGGTCCCTTCCAACTCTGTTTTCTATGATGTTCTGTGTTCAAAGGATTTTGTGTGTGTGTGTGCGTGTAAGACTTTGCAGTCACAGTACTGTACATGCCAGAACACGTTTGCTTTGCACACCGAAAAGATGACAAATTTAATGGAGGCATCTAAGCTACTTCCCTGATGGTCAAACGTCGGATAGATGGCTCCTGAATAAAAAATTAAAATAAATAAGGCAGAATACTTCCCGACCATAAGAAAAAATCCTTACTGTTGACTGTGCCAAGAACAGTGTTGAGAAGGTTCAGGACAACATCGACAACTGGACACAGCTGTAGCAGAGAAGAAAACAGAGGCATAGAATCAAAATCAGGTGAAGTGTTCGTACCGCGTTGTAAAGCCCTAGTAAGGCTACACCTGGAATCCTGCATCCAGTTTTGGTCACTTTACTACAAAAAAGATGTTAAGACTTTAGACAAAGTGCAGAGGAGAGCAACTAAGATGATTAAAGGGCTGGAGACTAAAACATATGAAGAATGGTTTTGGCCAGTCGCAGTGGTGGGGTTCAAATAATTTAACAACCGGTTCTCTGCCCTAATGACCGGCTGGGTGGGCGTGACCATGGTGGGCGTGGCCAGGGGGTATGACAGGCAGCACTTGGCCTCTTGCACCCCCTGGGAGCAAAAAAAGGCCACCGGGGGGGGGGGTCCCTCCCACACCCTGTTTTGAGCCTAGTAGGCCTCCCTGCAGCCTCCTGGGAACCAAAGCGGGACGCGGGGGACTTCTGGAAGGGGAGGGGTGGGGCCAGCCAGTAATTTAACAACTGGTTCCGCTGAAGGGGTGCGAACCGGTTGAATCCCACCACTGAGAAAAGAAGAATTAGGGGCAATTCCAGTACATGAGGAGAACTTCTGGAGGAAGGCTGTTCCACTGATTATAGTCTTCTCCAAGAGGACTACTGTTGATGGGATGCTTCATGGCTTCAGAATACGCCTGAAGAGGCCATTGAGCCTTCTTTTGAATCTTCAAAATCCATTTCAAAGCTGAACCTCAGGTATAAATCCCTGATGGCATCACCAATGTTGCTTGGGAACACCAAGATATCTCGGTCAAGATTCAAATTACATTGGAAGTTCTCCTATTCCCTTATCACCACTTTCCAAAAGTTCATAGTATAATTGTTGGATTCTAGCAGTATTCCAATATTTGAGGGGCCGCCACAAAGAAGAGGGGGTTGACTTATTTTCCAAAGCCCCTGAAGGCAGGACAAGAAGCAACGGATGGAAACTAACCAAGGAGAGGAGCAACCTGGAATTAAGGAGAAATTTCCTAACAATGAGGACAATTAACAAGTGGAACAGCTTGCCACCAGAAGTTGTGAATTCTCCATCACTGGAGGTTTTTAAGAAGAGACTGGACAGCTATCTGTCTCAAATGGTATAAGGTCTCCTGCTTGAGCAAGGGGCTGGACTGGAGGACCTCCAAGGTCCCTTCCAATCTAGTTATTCATTATTCTTGTAATTCTTTCTATCTGGTCAGGCCCCTGAATCATCTCATCTCACTCCAGTCAATCAATTTGGTGGTCTCCTCTGAGTCCAGCAGAATCGAATGCATTTCTTGACCCTGCAAGACTATTCTGGTGTGGTTCTCTCTGATTGATGGCCCAGATTCTGAATTTGTGTTCATTGAAGCTACGGTACTAAAAGAGGGACAGGCTATATAATTCAGTAGGAGGACTCACCAAACCAGGAACAACTTTATTCAAAAGATCACTCAGAACGTTGTCCAAGGACAATGGAAGGAGCCTGAAAAATGAGTGGAATTATTAAAAATTATTAAAAAGTTAATAATCTCTCCGCTCTATCTATCATCCTTTGCCACATAAAAGCTTCTGTTGGCCCACAAGTGAAAAATCAAGCTTCATCCTAGGACAACGCTGGGACCAATCCCACAGCTTCCTACTACAGCTAGTCCTGGACTTACGACCACAATTGAGCCTCAAATTTCTGTTGCTAAACGAAAAGTTTATGAAGTGAATTTCGCCCCATTTTACGACTTTTCTTGCCACCGTTGTTAAGTGAATCACTGCAGTGGTTAAGTTAGTAGCACGGTTGTTAAGTGAATCTGGCTTCCCCATTGCTTTGTTTGCCAGAAGGTCGCAAAAGGGAAATCACGGGATGTTGGGATGCATAAATATGAACCAGCTGCCAAGCATTTGAATTTTGATCACATAATTATGGGACAACTGTCGTAAGTGTGAAAAATGGCCACTTTTTTTCAATGCTATTTAACTTCCAAGTTCACTAAATGGTTGTAAGTCCAGGATTATCTGCAACCACTTGGTGCTCAGTCAAGAATGTCGCCAAGGAGAAGTCAAGACATTCAAGATCAGTGTTTCTCAACCTTGGAAGCTTGAAGATGGGTGGACTTCAACTCTCAGAATCCCCCAGCCAGCGCTGCTGGCTGGGGGATTCTGGGAGTTGAAGTCCACCCATCTTCAAGCTACCAAGGTTGAGAAACACTGTTCAAGATGGATGACAGCCACATCTGTGCGATCCAAGTCCTATCACTTTTTGCAACACCTGTTAAAGTGGGACAAGGCTTGGATCACACCATTGGGGCTGCCATCTTGAATATTCTTTTTTTTTTAACCTCTTTCTGAAGACCTTCCTTGACTGGGCCAATGATTTCCTTGGTGAGAGAACCTTTTGTTTTGATTCAATGGAGGAAATTATAAATTCGCCAAATTCAGTTTTTCCATCTCACGGTGGCTGGGAAGTCTAGGATTTGTAGTCTCTTTACCCATCTGGAGGGTGACGTTGCTCCATAGACTGACCTCATTGGACGGTTTAGCGTCCCTGACCCATCCATTCAAAAGCTGTCCCCCCACATAGGTTAAGTGTCTATTTGTGATGTACAAAGACTCACCCAGACAAGATCCGAATGCCACCAAGATTGGTTCTGCAATTCTCAAGGAGAAGCTTGGGAGATCCCATCCTGTCCTGGACCAGCCGGGCTTTGGCTGTGATGTTCACTTCTACCAGGAGAGTCAACGGGCCCCCCAGAATCCTGAAAGAATCCCAAGGAAATCGACATGAGGCTGTTTATTGGACCAACAGCCAAAAGTTCTCCAAAGAATCTTCTAAGTTTGGAGACAGTGCTGGTGTCAACGCTTCAACGCTGGCATAGAGAGCAGAGGAGAGAGAGAGAGATAAGCTCTGAACTTTTGCCTGCTAAATCCCTTTGAAGTCGGGTTGTCGTGGAAATGAGGGGGGGGACATTCCTGGGAAATGACGAGACAAGAAGTCTGAAGAATGACTTGGAAGATAGCCAATGAGAAGCAGAGATTTGGGGATCGGAAAGGGAGGGATTGGGGGGCAAAAGGTCAGTCTTGTCCGCATCGAGTCATGATCCGGTGGCTGTGCTCAATTAAGGAAAAGATTTCCTTAAAGATTGGCAGTTTGGAAATTCATTTATTTTGAGATAGCATCGAAGTCTGACAGCTGGCTTTTTCCATCCATGACAAATATTTATTTATTAGGTTTATATCCCTAACATTTAGCCTAGGAGCTCAAGAACATTCAACTAAGGGTTCCTTCTTCAATTCTAGCTCCAGAGAAAGTGTGACAAGCTCAAAATCCAAAATTAAGAGTAGATTTGAAGGTGAAACTCAATGATCCCTGACCAACACTTTCCATATGACACCAGCGATTTTCCTTCTTTGGTTTCCTGACTTTGACAGATGTCTTACGGCTTCTTAAAGGCATATCTCCTAACTATTATTCCTACAAAACCAAATCCTGATTTACTATTTGAAGATAGTACATTTTTTCTAATGGAGGACAGATAATCAGAATAGCAATAATCCTTAGACTTATATACCGCTTCATAGTGCTTTACAGCCCTCTCTAAGTGGTTTACAGAGTCAGCCTCTTGTCCCCAGCAATCTGGGTCCTCATTTTACCCACCTCAGAAGGACGGAAGGCTGAGTCAACCTTGAGCCTGTCACTAATTTTGAAGATATGACTCATATAATAGACATAGGCTCATTATAATTAAATAAATTCATTTATTAATATACCTTCCTTTCACAGAATACATTCAGAAAGAGCAAGGAGGACAGTTGGAGGTGGTCTTATATACAGGATGGGCGGGGCTAACGGTAAGTATTGACCTATCATTGATTTAGAGGGAGGAGAATGTATATTAACCCTTGCTTATCTTATGACATAACTTTAGTTTATATAAAGCAAGGCATTTACACTTGACAGAGCCTGCTGAGATTCGATCTGCCCAACTGCTGGCAGCCCATGATCAGCAGAAGTAGCCTGCAGTACTGCACTCTAACCACTGTGCCACTGTGGTCAGAAGACCTCCCTTTCTTGAAAATCCCATGTCCTACAGATCTTATTTTTGAATCAACCATGGTTGAAAGTTAGGAAGCTCCTCATGACAGCAACAGTTCCTGGGGACTAAACCAGGCAAGATGGCAGAGGCAGTGTTGTCATCCAAGTCTTGCCTCTTTCTGTGTGCAACAACAAGGAACTTACAAAAGCGGCAGGTATTGGATTGCGATGGCCATCTCAATTGTTTTAACTAACCACAACACACAACTCAATGGTTTCTCTTTCTCTACAAAATGGCTACCTCTACTCTACTCTACTCTACTCTATTCTACTCTACTCTACTCTATTCTACTCTACTCTACTCTACTCTACTCTACTCTACTCTACTCTACTCTATCTCCGACTACATCAAAACTAAAGCTGGAAGGAAGAAGGAGACTGGGAAATGCTACCTGTGGAAATGTCAGCCAAGAAAGGTAGCAAGATTTACTATTTCCCAAGGAAGCCAACTCACGTGTTGCCCTTGAGGGCTATTTTGGTGTAAATGTTCAATCCAAGTCCAACTGGAAAAAGCTTCAGGGTGACTTTAGGAAGGATGATATCCACAAGTTTCAACCTGGAGATAAAAGTGAGCTTCATGGTTAGGAACAGAAACTAAAATTATGAAGGACATTCAACGTCATAACCTGAGTGGTGCGGTGGCCTAGAGGTGGAGGTCTCACCTCACAATCAGGAGGCTGTGAGTTCAATCCTAGGTATTTATTTTATTTATTTGATTTGATTTCTATACTGCCCTACTCCTGAAGGACTCAGGGCGGTGCACAGCCAGACAATAAAATACATACATACAAAATTTAAAAGTGGAATTAAAATCAAATTAAATAGTTTTGGCCCAGACAAATTAAAACCCCAATCAATTTAAAACCAATTCTAAAATTTGAATATATAAAATACTAGGCCAGGCCTGCCTGGTGAAATAAAAAGGTCTTTAAAGCGCGGCGGAAGGTGCGCAGATCCGGGATCCTCCGTATCTCCTGGGGGAGCTTGTTCCAGATAGTAGGTGCCCCCACAGAGAAGGCTCTCCCCCTGGGGGCCGCCAGTCGGCATTGTTTGGCCGATGGCACCCGGAGGAGCCCCTCTCTATGGGAGCGTACCAGCCGGTGGGAGGCTATTGGTGGTAGTAGGCGGTCCCGCAAGTACCCTGGTCCTGAGCCATGGAGCACTTTAAAAGGTGGTAACCAAAACCTTGAAGCGCACCCGGAAGACCACCGGGAGCCAGTGCAGCTCGCGCAGGAGGGGTGTTACATGGGAACGCCAAGTCGGTCCCATTACCACCCGCGCGGCCACACTCTGCGCCAGTTGGAGCCTCTGGGTGCTCCTCAAGGGGAGCCCCATGTAGAGAGCGTTGCAATAGTTCAGGCGGGAGGTGACAAGGGCATGAGTGGCTGTGCGTAAGGAGTCCCGATCCAGAAAGGGATGCAACTGGCGGATCAGGCGAACCTGATGAAAAATCCTCCCGGTCACGGTAGAGATATTTCTCTCTCTGGGCACAATGAGAATATCTCTGCTGAGAAAAACTCCTCATTGGCAACAGGAAGGGCATCCGGCCATTAAAACTCTCTGCTAGCTCCATTCAGTTGCCCAGACTCCACCCCGCAAGGGATTATGGGATCATTGAATGATGATGATAATTCAATGTCATAACCCTAGACATCTTAAATCTAACTTTTTCCATGGGATTTAGATTTTGCTGATCGACATTTGGGGTCTATGTATGTAATGGACTGTGTGTGTGCATGTCTGTGTGTGTCTGTGTACAAAGCATGGGACAGAGAGAGAACTAGGACAGGAGAATGATCTTCATCTCTATCTACTCAATGTAAAGTAGGCAGTACCCCCCAAAAAAGCATGAAAACGAGCATTAAGTGACCAGATGAGGTTTTCCAAGGCTAACCAGTTCAGAAGGAAGAAGAAAGAAACCCTGAATTTAGGTGTAAGAACTCAGAAATGTAATTATCTAAAGTGTTTCCTCTGCAGAAGACAACCAGGTGTTGCCTTAGAGGCTTAAGTCATGTCTGGAACATGTCTGCAAGTTTCTATCATGTTGGAGTCTTCCATTGAATCAAATCAAGACCTAAAGAACTGAAGATCTAATTTAACATCAGGTCTAGGTATAAAGTCTGACAATAGGTAACTCACCCCAGGAGACCTTCATGTCCAAGGACACCACCAAGAAGTCCTCCATTTGGACCTCCGAGGACACCACCAAGCAGTCCTCCACCTTGGCCTCCAAGGACACCACCTAGTGGACCTCCACCTTGGCCTCCAAGGACACCACCAAGAAGTCCTCCACCTTGGCCTCCAAGGACACCACCAAGTGGACCTCCATCTTGCCCTCCAAGAACACCACCAAGCGGACCTTCACCTTGACCTCCAAGAACACCACCAAGCAGACCTCCATCTTTGCCTCCAAGGACACCACCAAGCAGACCTCCATCTTTGCCTCCAAGGACACCATCAAGTGGTCCTCCATCTTGGCCTCCAAGAACACCACCAAGCAGACCTCCATCTTTGCCTCCAAGGACACCACCAAGAAGTCCTCCATCTTGGCCTCCAATTCAACCCTCCTAGGACATTTTTACTCACTCCTCCAGCAAGTCCTTGAAGCAGGTCATCTTTGGCCAGGACATTTGAGAGTACTGTAGAGGGTGGAGAGCAATTATTACAGGAGATTAATTAAATTAAATTTAAACTCAGTTCCTGAGCTGAAACTGAGTTTATTGTTATTAGCAGCTGAAGTATAGTTTAGCTGAGTTACTAGAGTTATTCTTGATTTTTCTTAGACTTCCATCCCACATGCTTGTCTCTGTCTTTGGCCAAATTCACCTTTATTAATGTAGTAAAGCCAGAACGTTTGACATATGTTGCTATAATAGACCCTTCCATTCTCTGTGATCTCCCACAGAACATCTCCATAATAGTCATCTATGGAGATTCTCAACCATCCAGGTCATGGTTGCCCCAAAGGATCTTTTTCCAAAAGGCAACTGGTCTTTGAAAATGTTTCACTTCTCACCCAAGACCCATTTCTTCAGTTGTGAACTAAAGAAGCATCTTGGATTAGAAGTGAAACGTTTCCAAAGGGGGAAAAAAACTCCAAGAGAGGCCATTTGCCTTTTGGAAAAATCACCTTTGGGACTCCATAATAATCATTCAGGAGTTAAATGCTTCAGAACACAGCCATGGAATCTCCTTTCCAAAGTTTTGGTTTGCAAACACAGAAGGAAAATGAAGACTCACAGTTCTCCAGAACAGCCTTGTCCACCTGGGCCACAGATAACAAGTTTTCTGCTCCACCTTGGCAGATGGGCAGGAGGCCACAAAGGAGAAGAAGGGCTGAAGCCTTCAGCATGTTGATTCTGGTGCCTGGGGGGAAAAATAGGATAGCATAGGAATCAGTGGTGGGATTCAAATTTTTTTACTACCGGTTCTGTGGGCGTGGCTTGGTGGGCGTGATAGGGGAAGGTTACTGCAAAATCTCCATTTCCTCCTGATCAGCTGGGACTGGCAGAGAATAGAGGGGGTCAGGGCCAGTTAGATGTGGTATTTACCGGTTCTCCGAACTAATCAAAATTTCCGCTACTGGTTCTCCAAAGCTAGTCAGAACCTGCTGAAACCCACCTCTGATAGGAATGCAAGTTCATCAACAGGTCTTCAGAGAGCAGAACGTTGAAGGACCATGAGATGTTTTTCTGAAGCATGGATTGGTTCTGCAAAGGCCTGGGGCTAATTATGACATACTAATAAATTCCTGCAGTGGGCAAGTGGGGGGATTGGACGAGGTCAGGTTTTTTTTCCCGACCTTGGCAACATGCTTTTGAGTCCTACTTGAACCATGGAAGTCCATCTTCAGCAGTACCAACAAAGAGGAACTGGTGTTGAAAGTAGAAAGGAGGTCTCTGCCCCTCCGCAGCCTCTGCCACCTTGGTTGGCTCTCTTCATTTCTACCTCATGGTGGACTGGGTCAAGAAAAACCCAAAGGACACATATAGACTGGGTGAAACCAGGCTTAATAGCAGTGAGAGGGACCTTGGAGTCTTAGTGGACAACCAGCTAAATAGGAGCCAGCCGTGTGCAGTGGCAGCCAAAAAAGCCAACGCAATCCTAAACTGCATCAACAGAGGGATGCAATCAAGATCAGGTGAGGTACTACTACCACTCTACAAAGCCTTAGTAAGACCACACCTAGAGTACTGCATCCAGTTTTGATCACCATACCATAAAAAAGATGTTGAGACTCTAGAAAAAAGTGCAGAGAAGAGCAACCAGGATGATGAGGGGACTGGAGGCTAAAACATACGATGAACGGTTGCAGGAACTGGGCCTGGCTGGTCTAGTGAAGAGAAGGACCAGGGGAGACAGGAGAGCAGTCTTCCAATATTTGAGGGGCTGCCACAGAGAGGAGGGGGTCCACCTGTTTTCCAAAGCAACTGAAGGCCAGACATTGAATAATGGATGGAAACTGATCAAGGAGAAATTCAACCTAATAAGGAGACATTTTCCGACAGTGAGAACATTCCACCAATGGAACAGAAGTTGCCTTCAGAAGTTGTGGGAAGCTTCATCACTGGAGGCTTTCAAGAAGAGACTGGACTGCCATCTGTCAGAAATGGTGTAGGGTCTCCTGCTTGGGCAGAGGGTTGGACTAGATGACCTACAAGGTCCCTTCCAACTCTGCTTATCTTAATCTGTAATCTTAATCCAAGAATCCCACCACTGGGGTCCTGTGAACTGTGTGACTCAAACATGGCCAGATGGTAGATGTGGGGTGAAGGTCCTATCTAGGAAGCAACAAGATTGCCTTAGAGTTATAATCCCTCACATCAGAGAGGACTCCAAGCTGATTGGTCAGCTGAATTTCTCAGCTACTTCGAAAACAGTGCGGTAGAAGAAGCAATGGGTGGAGGTTGGTCAGAGGGTGATCCAAGCTAGAAATAAGGAGGAATTTCCTGATGGTGAGGACAATGAATAATGGAACAGCCTGCCTCCTGGAGTTGTGGGTGCTCCATCACTGGAGGTTTTTAAGATCAGATTGGACAACCATCTGTCTGGGATGGGATTCCTGTCTTGAGCAGATGGTTGGACTAGAAGATCTCCAAGATCTTCCAGCCTTATGATTCTAGGATTCAGGGATTCTATGATTCTATGGTCTTCTACAGTCACGTGACTATGGTGTATGTATGTGTACTGCCGTCAGAACTCCAGAATCGAGTAGTAAATACATTTTGGGGTAGGGGTGATCTGTTGCAACTTCAATTGGTTGCTAAGCAACTGGACATTGAGGAGGACTACCTGTACAAGTGCTCAATGAAGGGATGGAATCTCCTCAGAAAGGAGACTCAGCCTGGAATTTAGGAGGAAACTCCTGAGGGTGAGATCAATTAATCAATGGAATACCTTACCTCTGAAAGTTGTAGGTACACCATCACTGGAGGTCTTCAAGAAAAGATGGGACAACCATTTGTCCAGAATAGAATAAAGACTCCTGCCTTGGTTGGACTAGAAGATCTCCAAGCCCTAGGATTCTATGGTTCTAACCATCAAAGTTTCAATCAATCAATCAGAATAGAGCTGGAAGGGACCTCGGAGGTCTTCTAGTCCAACCCCCTGCTCAAGCAGGAGACCCCAGACCATCTCTTCAAAGATGAAGTAAAGACGAGCCTCAAGAATTGTCCTTACCTTCTCGATTTGGTACCCATTCGGAAAGAGCAAACCTTACCTTCGTCAACTAGAGGGTTTACAAGGGGTTGCCAAATCCCGTCCGTCACCAAGGAGGATGTCGTGGACCCAAAACCGATGGTCCTTTTATAGCAAATATCTGTGTCAGCAATGAGGAAAAGAGCCTCTTTGGGGAAAAGCCGTGATATTTGCTTTGGTGTAAAATAGCAAGCGATTATTTCCAAGGCAAATATACCTTTAGAAATCTTTAAAATGGGTCAATTGAACAATGTGCGTGGAACCTCACAGCAGGTGCATTTGATCCAACTTGAATGGGGATGCCGATTTCCAAATTTGACACACGCACACACACCCCCAAACCTAACCAGGAAAGCCGAGATCTTGTTTCACAGCCATCTCCGGTCCAGTGACCTCCAGATATCCTGGGTGAAAGTGTGGCTCTCGTCTCTGGAATTTCACGGAAGGGCGATTTCGCTTCAATCTCTGGCTGTAGTGTAGAGGGATATGAACAGGCTTGTAGTGTAGGGTCCTTGGTGGTCTTTGGACTTGGTTTTATTGGTTCAATTTATTGGTTCGATTTATATGCCGCCCTTCTCCGGAGACTCAGGGTGGCTTACAATGCGTTAAGCAACAGCCTTCATACTTTTGTATATACCTGCTTAGTAGGGCTTTCGGGGGCCCCCCTAAGTGGTGTTTTTTTTTTAATACAAAGTCAGTTTATTGCCCCCACAATCCGGGTCCTCATTTTACCTACCTCAGAAGGATGGAAGGCTGAGTCAACCTTGAGCCTGGTGAGATTCGAACTTGCAGTAATTGCAGGCAGCTGGTGTTACTTAACAGTGCTTTAATCTGCTGCGCCACCAAGGCTCTTGATAGAGAGGCTCTTGGTTATTTTCTTGCAGACATTTCATTACCCAACTGGGTAACAGGCACCCTGTTATTAAGCTGGTTATTAAGACCAGCTGCCTGCAATTACTGCAGGTTCGAATCTCCCCAGGCTCAAGGTTGACTCAGCCTTCCATCCTTTCTAAGGTAGGTAAATTGAGGAGAGGTTGTGGGGGCAATAAGCTGACTTTGTATAAATATACAAAAAGATGAAGGCTATTGCTGAGCACATTGTAAGCCGCCCTGAGTCTTCGGAGAAGGGCAGCATATAAATCAAATTAAAAAAAAAAAACATCATTAGTGCTAGAAGGGAGTGGGGATTGAGGAGAGGAGGAGGAGGACTGTGGGGTCCTTGGTCTCTCTGAGCTTGGTTATTTTTTTGGCAGAAATTTCATGAGCCAACTAGGAAACAGTATCAGTGCTAGAAGGGAGTGGGATTTGTGGAGAGGAGGAGGAGGAAAACTCTGGGGTCCTTGGTGTTCTCTGAGCTTTGTTGCTTTCTTGCAAACATTTCATCACTCAACTAAGTAACATTATCCGTGCTACAAGGGAGTGGGGTTTGCAGAGAGGAGGAGGAGGAGGAGGAGGAGGAGGAGGAGGAGGAGCACAAGAACGAGAAGTCTAGGTTCCTTGGTGCTCTCTGAACTTGGTTGTTTTCTTGAAGATGTTTCATTACCAAATTAGGTAACATCATCAGTACTAGAAGGGACTGGGTTTATGAGGAGGAGGAGGAGGAGGAGGAAGAGGACTATGGGATACTTGGTGATGTCTGGCTTCATTATTTTCTTGTAGATGTTTCATTACCCAAACTAGATAACATTATCAGTGCTAGAGAGGAGGAGGAGGAAGAGGAAGGAGGAGGAAAGTGGGCTCCTTGATGCGCTCTGAACTCGGTTGTTTTCTTGCAGACTTTTTATTACCCAACTAGATAACATCATCCATGCTAGAAGGAGGTGTGGGGTTTGCAGAGTGGAGACCAAGGCATAAACTCCATGCAAACCTGAAAGTTTTTTTCCCTTTTTGTTGCTTTGCTACCAGATCTTCCCTTCCTCCACCGAGGTCATCCTCTTTATTCTCTGTATTATGATACTGAAGGTGAGTCTGGGTCCTTCCAGAAGACATATTTCCTTGAGCCCCTTGACTGTTTATGACACTGCGTGGATCTTGCTTGCAATACTTGGATTCCATTCACACAAAATGTAACCTGTTTACTGAAGTCAACTATCTGTGTTGTGAGGGTCCACCACAGGTTTAAGAAGAAACTCCAGACAGCCATAAGTCTGGAGTAGTAGAGAGTCTCCTGCTTGAGCAGGGGGTTGGACTACAAGATCTCTAAGGTCCCTTTCAAAATTATTGTTCTCAAAGTTTTATCAGACAGACAAAGAAAAAAAAATCTGATACCAGCCACCCAGGTTATTGGAAACAGCCATTTCTTGAAATATTGATTGATTGAATGAATGGATTTCTGGTCATATCTCAACATGATTTCACAATAAAAATGCAAATTATTAAAAGACAACAAAGGGAAATGCTTTGGTCCCTTCGTGTGTCAATTTAGGAGTTGAGATGCAGAGATCTGGAGGGAGTGACCTTCTTTTGTCAGAATAGAACTGGAAGGGACCTTGGAGGTCTTCTAGTCCAGCCCCCTCCTCAAGCAGGAGACCCCAGACCATCCCAGACAAGTGGCTGTCCAGTCTCTTCTTAAAAACCTCCAATGATGGAGCACCCAGAACTTCTAGTGGCAAGCAGTTCCACTGGTTAATTGTCCTCGCTGTCAAGAAGTCTCTCCTTAATTTATTTATTTATTTATTGGTTTGATTTATATGCCGCCCTTCTCCGGAGACTCAGGGTGGCTTACAATGCATTAAGCAACAGCCTTCATTCTTTTGTATATACCTGCTTAGTAGGGCTTTCGCCCCCCCCCCTTAAGCGGTGTTCTTTTTTATACAAAGTCAGCTTATTGCCCCCACAAACTGGGTCTTCATTTTACCGACCTTGAAAGGATGGAAGGCTGAGTCGACCTTGAGCCTGGGGAGATTCGAACTTGCAGTAATTGCAGGCAGCTGGTGCTACTTAACAGCACTTTAGTCTGCTGCGCCACCAAGGCTCTGATCCCTTCGTGCGTCAATTTAGGAGTTGAGATGCAGAGATCTGGAGGGAGTGACCTTCTTTCATCAGAATAGAGCTAGAAGGGGCTTTGGAGGTCTTCTAGTCCAGCCCCCTGCTCAAACAGGACCATTTCAGACAATGATGGAGCACCCAGAACTTCTAGTGGCAAGCAGTTCCACTGGTTAATTGTCCTCGCTGTCAGGAAGTTTCTCCTTAATTCCAGGTTGCTTCTCTCCTTGACTAATTTCCATCCATTGTTTCTTGTCCTGAAGAAACTTTCTCACCAGCAAGTTTTTCTTATGTGTCACAGTGCCCTCAGCACTGAAAGCAGCCTGATTCCCCAAGGGTGGGTGGTCTCCAATGGGGGAAGACCCCTTCTGTCCCCTGCAGACGACCCACCGAAGCTTCCAGGGCCTTCTCCTCCACGTGGCCTTCGTCCCTGCTGCGTAAGGCAACCTGCCACACAACCCTAGCTGAGCTGGTGTGGGGGCCAGAGGGAGCAAGTGCGCAAACAGTGTGCCTTCGGACACACAATAGGGACAGTGAACACAGTGCCGTATCGTGTTATCAGGATCTGGGATCAGCTTTGAGCCAAGATCGCGTAACCAGAAAGAAGCCCAGGTCAACAAACTCAGCTCTGAAAAAGATCTTCTGCAGAGAATAAATAACAGAGTTTAATTTCACTTTTTTTTTTTTGTTAGTCTAATGGAGCTTCCCTTTCTCCATCCAGATCATCCTCTTTGCTTTTCCCATCATGGAACGGGACATGATTATGGATAGCTCAAGAAAACACATTTCTTTGGGTCCCTTTAGTTAATAACTTTATTGTCATTGTATGTGTATACACAGTATACCCATACAACGAAATTCACTTAACGCCCAAAGACCAGGCCCAACACACATAACAATCCCCAAACACCCCCACTCACCCTCCACAAATTCCCTGCCCCTAAACCACCCAAACATCCACACAGCAGACCAAGTAATGCTGTCCAACAGCTCATTGATGGTGGCCCTTTAGTTCATTGTTGAGTGCGATTATAGCTCTGGGTTAAAAAAACTATTCAAAAAGCTGTAATTTATTATTTATTGGTTTGATTTATATGCTGCCCTTCTCCGGAGACTCAGGGCGGCTTACAATGCGTTAAGCAATAGCCTTCATCCTTTTGTATATTTTATACAAAGTCAGCTTATTGCCCCCACAAACTGGGTCCTCATTTAACGTACCTTTGAAAGGATGGAAGGCTGAGTCAACCTTGAGCCTGGTGAGATTTGAACCTGCAGAAATTGCAGGCAGCTGGTGCTACTTAACAGCACTTTAGTCCGCTGCGCCACCAAGGCTCTAATGATACTGTATGGATCTTGCCTATAGTACCTGGACTCCATCCACATGAAACTTAAGCTGGGTTTATGTCTATGGAGATTCTCAGCCTTGCAAGACTGCTATTCTGGGCAAGAGGGAGACTCATGCAGATGTTTGGGGGCCTTTTGGCCAAGGGAAGTTCAGGTCTTCTCCATCCTGGATGGTGAAGCTCATCAAGTGGAGACGCTATCCAGAAAAAAAGGTCAGAAATCTAACTTCACCCTATTTCTATGGAGATTCTCCGTCATCCAGGTCCCAAAGGTGCTTTTTTTCAAAAGGTAACTGGACTTTCTGTTTTTCTTTGAAGAAGTTTCACTTCTCATCCAAGAAGCTTCTTCAGCTCTGACTGGATGGTGGGAATGGAAGTCTGCAAGGGGTATAAATCCTTCCATTCCCCAACATCTGGTCAGAGCTGAAGAAGCTTCTTGAATGAGAAGAGAAACATCTTCAAAGAAAAACCAGAAAGTGCACTTGCCTCTTGAAAAAAAGCACTTTTGGAACCTGGGTTTAACCTGGGTTCAGAATTAACCCATGATCTCAGGTTTTGTTTTTGGTTTTTGTTTTTGGTTTTTTGCTTTTTAATTTATATGCCGCCCTTCTCCGGAGACTCAGGGCGGCTTACAATGTGTTAAGCAATAGCCTTCATACTTTTGTATATACCTGCTTAGTAGGGCTTTCGCCCCCCACCCCCAAGCAGTGTTCTTTTTATATACAAAGTCAGCTTATTGCCCCCCACAATCTGGGTCCTCATTTTACCCACCTTAGAAAGGATGGAAGGCTGAGTCGACCTTGAGCCTGCTGAGATTTGAACTTGCAGTAATTGCAAGCAGCAGATGTTAGTTCTTAAGATACATTAAACCCTGAACTAACCCACAGGCCATATGTATCTAGTGCATTCATCCACCAGGGTTTACCTGACCTAGTTAAGCATGTGGTGAAAACCCACCATGAGCTCATGTTGATGCCATATCAGGAATGACCTCACTCTGTTCTAGCTTCAGCATTTTGAAAACATCTCACTAGAACTGTGATGGTGAACCTTTTCGGCACTGAGCGCCCAAACCGGAACACGGATGCATGTGTATACATGTACACGCACAACCCAAAGATCAGCTGGCCACCACGCTCGTGCCTGTTTTTGGCTGTTTTGGGCTGTTTTTTGGGCCATTTTCAGGCTGTTTTGGGGGCATTTTCAGGCTGTTTTCAGGCCATTTTCTGGCACTCCAGCACCCACGAAGATCAGCTAGCTGGCGCACACATGCACGCTGGAAATCAGAAGAGCAGCTGGTGATGGCACGCATGCCCACAGAGAGGGCTGTGCATGCCACCTCTGGCACGCGTGCCATAGATTTGCCATCACGGCACTAGAACTTTCGGTGTCATCTCTCCCCTATCAGAAACGACCACACATTGTCTCTTTATGGGTCATGGAGCATCCCCCTTCCCATGAAGAGGAGAAGAAACCAGAAGGACCATGCTCTCTCCAACATCACAGCTCCACCTCCTCTTCCTTAGCATCCCTGGCTCTCAAGATGCTAATTTTTGGCCTGACAGACCCATAACTTCATCCAGCAGGCCTCCATCTCTGGTTCTTCAGGGGCCACTTTCTGACATAAAGCGCTGAGATCTGATTCAGCAACCCTGCTTTGAAGATCGTCTGATCAAGTTGCAGCCCATCATCTATTCTCCATCCACATCCTGGCGCCCTGGACAGGAGTCCCTCCAGAACCCCCATAATGTCCTGATGAACCTCAAGAGATGCAAGTCCAAAGCAAACCCAAGAAATGCAGAAGAGGAAATTGGGATATTTTATTTGATAAACATAGACAGAGTCACCCTAATTCCCTAGTGAGCTGCTACTATTGAGAGTAGGACACAGCAGAGTAGAAGTTTCAGCAGGGCAGGGAAGGAAAGAGAGTCCCTCAACCATACAGGTTCTTGGAAGCACCAAATTGGGAAGGTTTTTTAAGGTATTCATTCATTGTATAAATCTGTGTTCTTCTTCCCAATTAACCACCCCTCAAAATGGTTTACAAATAAATGTGAATTATTAAGAGACATTAACAAGGAGGCTGCCTTTATCTTCTCGGTTGGTGTATGAATTCGGTCAGTTTCGTTCCAAGGCATCGATTCAACATCTGAATGAGCAAAGTGGGGAGGGGATGATCAGGGAGACCTCCAGGCCTTCCCTTTTTACGTAGTCTTGGGCTTCTCTTGGTTAAGTCTTATTCGCTCCGCCAACTCATTTTCATCGTAAGCCTCTATCATCACGTGAAAGACCAGCACGTTCTGTGAAGATTGGAAAATTACAGCCATTATTTCTTATTTGCACACCCCACACTTTCTCGCACTCCTCCTATCAGCGGGTTGTCCTCCTTGCACGTCCCAAACAGTGTCTCTACTGGGACCACCAGAGGAGAAATGGACATAGCCCAAGGAGGAAGCTACACCTTTGCACTGACAAAAGAGAATTTTTGAAGCTCAGGGTTGAACTGGGTCCTTGATGCTCTCTAACATTGGGTTTTTTTCTTGCAGACGTTTCATGACCCAACTAGGGAACATAATCAGTGATAGAAGAGAGTGGGCTTTGTGGAGAGGAAAGGAGAGGAGAAGGAGGAAGAGGAGAAGGAGAAGGAGAAGGAGAAGGAGAAGGAGAAGGAGAAGGAGAAGGAGAAGGAGAAGGAGAAGGAGAAGGAGGGGAAGGAGAAGAGAAGGAGAAGGAGAAGGAGAAGGAGAAGGAGAAACAGAAACAGAGAAGGAGGAGGAGGAGGAGGAGGAGGAGGAGGAGGAGGAGGAGAGATGGAGGAAGAAGAAGAGAGAAACAGAAATGGAAAGAGAAACAGAAGGAGAAGGAGAAGGAGAAGGAGGGGAAGGAGAAGAGAAGGAGAAGGAGAAGGAGAAACAGAAACAGAAAGAGGAGGAGAAGGAGAAGGAGATGGAGAAGAAGAAGGAGAAACAGAAAGAGAAACAGAAACAGAAGGAGAAAGAGAAGGAGTGGAAGGAGAAGAGAAGGAGAAGGAGAAACAGAAACAGAAAGAGAAAGAGAAACAGAAGGAGAAGGAGAAGGAGGGAAAGGAGAAGAGAAGGAGAAACAGAAACAGAAACAGAAGGAGGAGAAGGAGAAGGAGAAGGAGAAGGAGAAGGAGAAGGAGAAGGAGGGCTTTGGGCGTCCTTGGTGCTCTTGATCTGGGTTGTTTTCTTGCGGGTTTCATGACCCAACTAGATAACATCATCAGTGCAGCCCCTTCTGCACCCCTGCTGGGGTCTCTGCAGGAATTGGGGGATTGTCAAAATGGCCCAAGTAAAAAAGGGACGGAGACACAATGCACTCTATGACTGTCTTTTGAGACCCCTGCCACGGCTCCTGCATCATAGACCTGGTTTGAGGCCAGGGGGGCAATGGGGTTGGACCCTCTGGACAGCAAATGTTCTTCAGCTCTAAGCAACCCAAAGGCCTCAAAATTGGGGTTCATCAACTGACCTCTCCAAAACGGAGCGTGGTTTCACCTTCGCTGTACATCAGCCCCAACAGGCTTGGAAGAGGAACCTGATTCTTACTCAGGACATCTGCAAAAGAGGAAGCAGCTGTTGGCCCCATCTCTTCCTTCCCATCCAGGATGTCTGTGGAGATTCTCCATCATCCAGGACATCATTGTGCCAAAAGTGCTTTTCCAAAAGTCAAGTGGACTTTTTTTTGAGTTTTTCCCCTTGAAAACGTTTCACTTCTCACCCAAGAAGCTTCTCCAGTTCTAAGTTCAGTTCAGTTCTTCTAGAACTGAAGAAGCTTCTTGGGTGAGAAGCAAAATGTTTTCAAGGAAAAAAAAAACACCAAGAAGTCTGGTTTCCTTTTGCAAAAGGACTTTTTGGGATCCCCATCCAGGAGTTTCTGGCATTTCGTTCGAGCAAGTTATTGCTATCAACACTATAGCAGAGTTGGAAGAGATCTTGGAGGCCTTCTAGTCCAGCCTCCTGCTTAAGAGGTGACCCTATGATATACCAGACAAGGGGCTATCCAGCATTTTCTTAAAAACCTCCACTTGGAGCACTGATTAATTCTCACAGTCTGGAAGTTTCTCCTTAATTCTAGACTGTATCTCTCCTTGATTAGTTTCCACCCATTGCTTCCTGTCCTGTCTTCAAGTGCTTTGGAGAATAGCTTGACTCCCTCTTCTTTGGGGCAGCCCCTCAAATATTGGAAGACTGCTATCATGTCTCCCCTGGTCCTTCTCTTCATTAAACTAGACATACCCAGTTTCTGCAAATGTTCTTCATATGTTTTAGTCTCCAGTCCCCTAATCCCCTTCGTTGCTCTTCTCTGCACTCTTTCTAGGGCCCCAAACACTTACCATTGGCATGTGGGATCCAACTATCCATGATGCTTTTCATAAAATCTTTTGCTGGTTCTACCTATAACAGCGAGAAAGAACCAGTCAAAATTGGAGCAAAAGAACATCAGGAAATTCCATGGCTGGGGGGGCGCCAGAATGGAAGTAGCGACCATGTCCCCAAACAAAAGAAACATCTTTGACCAGAATGGGCAAAAATATCACCTTGAAACATCTGACGTTGAACCCAAAGTGGACCTTAACTCAAAAGAGACCTCTACTCTTATTTACAAAGACTATAAAAAGCTCTCTTATGCTAGACAGGCAATTAAAATGATAAAAGAGGAATCAATAGTTTGCTGATATAAATGGAACGAACTGGATATTATTTCACTCCAAGCTAGGACCTGCTCTCGTCCACAAAGCTCTTTGCAAATGTCTAATATTTCAAGGGGAAGCAAAATGACCTCTTCACGAATGAAGGTAAATACAGGGGTCTCAGAATAATATTGCAGGATCCAATCTGAGTCGGTTGCCAGGACCCAAAGGTTTATTCTTCCAAGATTTCATGTAATGGACAAAGACGTGGCATTCAATTTCACAGCTACTACGATTGTTGGCCGAGCAGGGACAAAAACAGCCAGGGAAATGATTGAAGCCTGGGGAGCAAGGCTCCTTGTCAGTCAAGCCAAGGAGCCTTGGTAGTACAGTGGTCTAAAGCACCCTGTTATTAAGACCAGCTGCCTGCAATTACTGCAGGTTCGAATCTTGCCAGGCTCAAGGTTGACTCAGCCTTCCATCCTTTCAAAGGTAGGTAAAATGAGGACCCAGTTTGTGGGGGCAATAAGCTGACTTTGTATTAATATACAAAAAGGATGAAGGCTATTGCTTAACGCATTGTAAGCCGCCCTGAGTCTCCGGAGAAGGGCGGCATATAAATCAAATTTAAAAAAAACAAAAACAGGAATGCTAATTTACCACCAGCCTATCAGGTACTTTGGATCTGAGCATGTGAGCGCCACAAGAAACAACACAATTAATAGCAGCCTAATTAATAACTAAAAGCTACACACAACCAGAAACCATATGTGGAACAGCCCACTGGAGAGAGAGAAGTTCCATGATGATGGGTTCCAGCATGAGCTCAAAAGCTTGGAAGAATAAACTTTTGGTCCCGGTGACCGACAAGATCCATCACCTCTTCAGGTTATTAATTCGTTTCCCTGTCTTAGCCCAAAACCCATCAACAGCCAGGTGGATAAGTCTACTCTTAAATGTGTGATGCCCACTACCCTCAAATAACTTCAGACTTACGTCTCCAGCAGGAGAAGAAATCTCCGTTGACCTGTAAGAAAAAAAAGGAGGAGGAAGGAGAGAACATAACTACTTTGCAATTTCATCATGTCCATTTTTGTCTCTTTATCTGCTCCATCTGCTGACACACCAGCTTCACATTTGCTTTCAGAGCGGTTTGCAACGGAGTCTCCATAGTCAAAAAAAACCTTGACCTTGGCAACCACAAGGGTGTGCGTCAAGCTTGAAGCGCATTTATGCTGTTGCAACCATTGTCGCTTCTCAACTTACAAAAGGATAATGGGGGAGGGAAGGGTGAGAAGGAACGCAGGCTCCAGACTTCAAGGAGGAGAGCCGTGGGAACCAAGAACACGTCTGCAGGTGTCCGCCAAAGACCAGAGACTTTTTCTCATAACAATAGAATGGCACGCAATCGGACAATGTGGCCTGCATTAATGGGGGGGAGGGGAATTCTATATTGTAATTATGTAGGTTTGTATGGGAATTGGGTAGAGCTGATTTTTGCCTTCATTGGTGCCAAAAGGATGTACTCAATAAAGTTTTGCATTGAGACATTGACAGTCTTGAGTGTGCTTGCTTTAGTTGGGTTCATCAGTCGGGACATTGACATCTTGACTGAAATTGGCCTTTAAGGAGACCTCAAGACCACCTCCTTCAGCTGGGGTCTTTAGCGCAAGAGGGCCCTCCTTCTCAGTTTAGTACCTGCATGATCCTGATTCCAGGGAGATGGCCAGCCGTTCCTCTTTTATGCCAAAACCAGCACTGCATTCTTGCACCTACAGTTCAAACACAGAAAGAAGATGGAGATGGAGATGGCCCTCAGGACTATGGTGGAATCGCTGGCTCAAGGAGAAGAGTAATTTAAGGGACGTGCCAGCATGGAATCGCTCCATGGGAGAAAACATCCTAGGCTAGACTAGAATAGAACAGAAATAGAAGAATAGAAATAGAAATAATAGAAATAGAAATAGAAATAGAAATAGAAATAGAAATAGAAATAGAAATAGAAATAGAGAAGAGAGCTGGAAGGGACTTCTGGTGCTTTGGAGAATAGGTTGACTCCTCTTCTTTGGGGCAGCTCCTCAAATACTGGAATCCTGCTATCATGTCTCCCCTGGTCCTTCTTTTCTTTAGACTGCAGCCATTCTTCATATGTTTACATCTCCAGTCCTTTGATCATCTTAGTTCCATGATGGCGAACCCGTGTGCCCACCGATGTGGCACGTGGAGCCACATCGGTGGGCACATGAGCTCAGCTCCGGCACCCATGCGTGCGCCGGCCAGCTGATTTTCGGGCCTTCTGGGCCCACCAGAAGTCAGGAAACACACTGTTTCCAGCCTCCGGAGGGCCTCTGGTGGGGGTGGGGAAGGCCGTTTTCGTCCTCCCCAGGCTCCTAGAAAGGCTCTGGAGCCTGGGTCAAGCGAAAAATGGGCCTACCGAGCCCACCGTGTCATTGTGTGCCAAAAGAGGGGGGAGCACGGGGGAAGGGGTGGGGCACATAGAATTATGGATGTGGGCATGTGTATGTGTGACCCCACCGGGCTCCCCCCCGCTTTTGGCAAAAAGGTTAGCCATCACTGTCTTAGTTGCTCTTCTCCACACTTTTTCCAAAGTCTCAACATCCTTTTTGTAATATGGTGACCAAAATCGATTGCAGTATTCCAGATGTGGTCTTACTAGGGTTTTATAAAGCGGTTACTAGTGCTTCACATGATTCTATGCCTCTGTTTATACAACCCAGGATTTTGGCGGCGGCTGCACACAACTGGCTCATGGTTTTAACAGTAACAGAGTTGGAAGGGACCTCGGAGGTCATCTAGTCCAACCCCCTGCTCATGCAGGAGGCCTGTACTAGGGATTTGAACCGCCGAACTGTTGACCTTTCTGATCGACAAGCTCAGTGTCTTAGCCACTGAGATACCTAGTCAGGCTTTCCCCTCTCTCCCTCCTTCCTATCTCTTCCTTCCCATCCCTCCCTCCCTCCCTCCCTTCCTTCCTGTAGATCAGGGGTCTGCAACCTTAAACACTCAAAAGAGCCCTTTGGACCCGTTTCCCACAGAAAAGAAAACACCGGGAGCCACAAAACTCTTCCCGTGCCTGACTATTTCTTGAGCGGCCACAAAACTAGCAGATGTAATTGAATTAAACCTTCTGTTTTCTTCTGAAACTTTTCTTTTCTTGGATTTATCCATGGTTGGCCTATCGGGGGGTTGAAAAGCTCAATAAATCACGTGCCGGCGGGTGTCACACATTAACGGTTGTGACGCATATTTTGAGTGACAGGGAGCCGCAGCAGAGGGGTGAAAGAGCCACATGCGGCTCCAGAGTCGCAGGTTGCTGACCCCTGCTGTAGATGCTCCCTAATTATCTTTGTAGGTGTTTGAGAGCCTCAGTAATACAATGTTGACGGAATGATCTCTGAGAGGTATGGCTGAATTTATCTCGCCCCCCCTCTACCTTAACAAGAGTGTCATCGTATAGGTTATTTTGGGAAGGCGAGGGAGCCAAAACAGGTTGAGACTATTGGCCTCTGGCAAAGGGATCCGTAAGAAATGATGATCTACCGTGTCTACGGAGAGGAGCTCAGCGCCATCTTCAACAGACAAGAATGAGGCTTTGATTCTGGCTGTCATGTGGCTTCTGGTGGACGACACGGTAAATGTGACATTCACTTTCTGAGATATTTCAATTTTCATTTCTTTTCCAGCAGGTAGATCAGCCTGGAGAAAATGAAACATCCTTAAAATCAGACGGCTGTAAATTACGAACAAATTTTCGAACAAACTACCTTTACCGAGTTCACTGTTTGGGTGCAGAGACCCCTCCCCCCCTTGGTGTTTTGCTTTCTCTAAGGGGCTGCTCATCGGAGGTGACCTCCATCCTTGGCAGCTGCAGGGGGCACATCTGTAGACTACCTCCAGTAGGATGTGGCTGACCCTATAGGGTCTGGGCTACACAGATCTCCTATCTATCCATCCATCCATCCATCCATCCATCCATCCATCCATCCATCCATCTATCTATCTATCTATCTATCTATCTATCTATCTATCTATCTATCTATCTCTGTGTCTGTCTGTCTGCCTGTCTGTCTGTCTATCTATCTATTATCTATCGATCGATCGATTATCTATCTATTATCTATCTCTATCTATTATCTATTTATATCTATCTATCTATCTCTGTGTCTGTCTGTCTGTCTTTCTATCTATCTATTATCTATCGATCGATCGATTATTATCTATCTATCTATTATCTATCTATATCTATTATCTATCTATCTATCTATATCTATCTATCTATCAATCTCTGTGTCTGTCTGTGTCTGTCTATCTATTATCTATCGATCGATCGATTGATTATTATCTATCTATCTATTATCTAGCTATATCTATTATCTATCTATCTATATCTATCTATCTATCTATCTCTGTGTCTGTCTGTCTATCTATCTATTATCTATCGATCGATCGATCGATTATTATCTATCTATCATCTATCTATATCTATTATCTATCTCTGTCTATCTATCTATCTGTCTATCTGTCTATCTATCTATCTATCTATCTATCTATCTATCTATCTATCTATATCTCTGTGTGTCTCTCTATCTCTATTATCTATTATCTATTATTTATTATCTATCTATCTATCTATCTATCTATCTATTATCTATATATTATTTATCTATCTATTATCTATCTATTATCTATCTATCTATCTATCTAATATCTACCATCTACTGTATTCATCCATCCATCCTATCTATCTATCTATCTATCTATCTATCTATCTATCTATCTATCTAGTCTCTATTTCCTATTTCTCTGTCTCATTTACCTATCCTCCATCGTCTTGCAGTGCCAAACAAATCTCTCATGCTGTTTTATCCTTCTGAAAACTTGTCAGTTCTTGCAAGGTAACCCCAAAACACACAAAAAACTTACATCTGGCAATATTTCTTTTAGCTGGTCAGTCGTAGGAGCAGAACCCTGACCAAAAAAAGGGTGGGAGGAGAAATACTCAGGTTAGTAATGAAAACGAAAGAGCTGAGCCAAGAATTGCAAGCAATGACCTTTCACCCCAAGGTAGGCAAGGTTTATTTCCCATGGAAATCAGCTGGGTAAATCAATATCGCCAACGCATCGATTCTTTTGTTTAGAATCTGGATTTGTGAAGGAGATGCCCTTGTGAAGGAATTATAGAGATCTAGGGAGAATATCAAGGAATCCAAAGTGGCTTTTGCACCCAGAATCAAGGAATTGATTCTCTAGTCACCTCAATTTCAGCAATAACAGAGTTGAATGAGCCATCCATCAATGTCATTGCAACATTGATGACAGACACAGGTATGTAGACAGCATTTTTCCCTTCCTCTTTTGGTGGCAGGTCTTCAGGGACCGGATCAGGTGTGACTTCTATGACTTCACCGTTATTGGGTTGGAATTTAACCTAGAAAACGAAGCGTAAATACCAGCGTTGTCATTTCAAAAGCGAGTGAAACTTGCTCCAAGATATACATTGGATTGGATGGGTGCAGAGGCCACTTCCAATTTGGTCCTGTTCTTGGGCATCTGATCTCCATTTCTAACTTTATTCTGGGCTCCTGCTCCCTCCACCTCAGACCAAAGTCTGCAATGCAGTCCTACCTTGATGGCTGGAAAGAAGCCAGAATACCAATAAATAAATAATAAACCAATAAATAAATAAACTATCAGCCATCTCCTCCCGCTGACGACTGCATGATTGTAACCTTGTTGCTGGTATCCTTAAGATTTATATTGACTGTTTCTTAATATGATTTGATTGCTTATTTGTTCCCTATGACTATCATTAAGTGTTTTAACTTATGATTCTTGATGAATGTATCTTTTCTTTTATGTACACCGAGTGCGTATGCACCAAAGACAAATTCCTTGTGTGTCCAATCACACTTGGCCAATAAAGAATTCTTTCCCATTCTATTCTATTCTATTCTATTCTATTCTATTCTATTCTATTCTATTCTATTCTATTCTATTCTGGAGAATATTTGTAGCTCAGGATTGAAATGAGGGGTCCCTGGTGTTCTCGGAGCTTGGTTCTTCTCTTGCAGATGTTTCATTACCCAACTAGGTTACATCATCAGTGTTAGAAGGGTTCACTCTCATTTTTATAAATGCAAGAGAAACACCAAGCTCAGATAGCACCAAGGGCCCCACAGTCCTCCTCTTCCTCCTCCCCCCTCCTCCTCCTCCCCTTCACAACCCCACTCCCTTCTAGCACTGATGATGTTATCTAGTTGGGTAATGAAACATCTGCAAGAGGACAATCAAGCTCAGAGAGCACCAAGGAACCGTCAGAAGCCAGAATCTCATCCCTGCATAATTCTATGTGTTGCCTCTCTACCTCTTGCTATGCAGGGTGAGGTTTGCGGTTTGGGGAGCAAGTCTTGGGACATCAGCTCCTGGTACTGGACATTTGACCTGGTGCCTTTGATCATCTGGCTCCCACATTCCCCAAATCATCTAAGGCAGTGGTGAAATCTAAAATTTGGTACTACCGGTTCTGTGGGCGTGGCTTGGTGGAGGGCGGGGGTAATGTGACTGGGTGGGCGTGGCCAATTTTTTTTTTTTTTACTTTTAAAACCATTTTTTCTACAACCTCTTCACCAAAGAGGTTGTAAAAAAATGCTTTCAATGATCCCAGCTGAGTTGCCTGATCGGCAGAGGCTTTTTTTTCTTTTCTTTTTTTTTTATTGAAAAGTTTTAAAAAGTTTTACAGACATTTCCCCTTCCCCCTCCCTCCTCCCCTTCCAGCCCTCCCCTTACCCTCCCTCCCCCCCCCACTTCCCAGAGCAAAATACAGGGTATAACATTTGACAATCATAAGCTAACATAAGCTAATTATCTATAGCCTCTTATCCTCCTCTTGAACTTTTAACTCCCCTTTTACTAAACTAAATTTAAGTACTTTACAAAATCTCTTTGATCATTCATAAGCTATTTGAAATTTTTTAGTCCGATATTTGCCTTGAATATAATCAATCTATCTTTTAAAAGCCTCTGCCGATCAGGCAACTCAGCTTGGATCATCAGAGGCATTTAAAAGAAAAAAACCCTTTTTTTCTTTTAAAAGCCGTTGACGATCCCAGCTGAGCCGCACGATCATCAGAGGCTTTTTTTTTTTACTTTTAAAAACATTTTTTCAGACAAAAGAGGTTTTAGAAAAAAAAGTTTTTAAAAGGAAAAAAAAAAAGCCTCTGACGATTCTGCAGCTCAGCTGAGCATGGGGGGTGGGGGTGGGCAGGGATTTTGCTACTGGTTCTCCGAACCACCCGTCTCCATCGCTACCGGATCAGGCGATCCGGTCCAAACTGGGAGCATTTCACCCCTTATCTAAGGGAACCTTCCTTCCCATCCAGCCACGCTTCCATTGGAAGCTCAAGAGGCTCATGCAATAGGACTTTAGGAGGCCCAGCTGATTCCATACTACCTTGACCCTTTGAGAAGGACAGAAGCTTCTGAGTTTCATGTTCAAACTATGGAAAGGAAGAGCTGTCAAGAGTTACCAGCTGAGGTCACTCCCCATGCCAAGCTAACGAAGAACCAAATTAATGCTGGCTGGTGACAATGTGGGGTGAAAATGACGAACGATATAGCCGACCACTCTTACCTTGAGCTGAATTAAGTTGTAATCTGGGAAGATTCCTGGTTCTTCTACCACTTCGTACCACATTGTGCTGCTGTCCCCAAATGATTTCTTTTCTATGAAAAGATACAGGAGTTGCGTCTGCATTCAGACAGCCTTTCTCAAACCAGGTACAATTGATGTGGCTCATTGGAGCCCCTCATGGATCTCGGGGAGCCACGAAATGGGACCTGCAAGAGCTCATAAGTGGTCCACACCAGGCACAAATCATGGCTTGCAAACCACAACAAACCCAGATCATCCCCAAATGACCAGGAGAAATGTTCCAATGGAGAAATGTCCTTTGTGGACTCTCCGTTACTGATGCTGTGATTCTGATTCTTTTCGTTCAAGAAAAACGTTTCAACCACGTGAGCTTTTCTGGAACACAAACTGAATTCTGTGTGATAAAATCTCTGGCAACCAAGTCAATAAGCCAACATCTCTAAAGTTTGGGAAGAAGCAGTTTAGAGTTTTTCTTCTTGGTTGCTTTTCCAAAGTTTCTTCACAGAAACACAGTAGAGCAAAGCCTTTGTCTAAAGTTGACCAGATCCATATTTCATCTTAGAGGACATCCCAAGTGGGACAACCTGAGCAGCCCCCAACACACAAGACCCCCACCCAGGGGATCGCCCGATCTGGTAGCGATGGCGGCAGGTGGTTCAGAGAACTGGTTGCAAAAATCCCTGCCCTGCCCTCCATGCCCAGCTAAGTTGCGCGATCATCAGAGGCTTTTTTTTTTACTTTTAAAAGCATTTTTTCTTTGCAACCTCTTCAGCTGAAAAAATGCTTTTAAAAGTTAATGGTTCAGCTGGGAACGTCAGAGCCTTTTAAAAGCATTTTTTCTTTGCAACCTCTTCGGCCGAAGAGGTTATAGAAAAAAGTTTTTAAAAGAAAGAAAAGCCTCTGACTATCAGGCAACTCAGCTGGGATCGTCAGAGGCCGAAGTGGTTGTAGAAAAAATGGTTTTAAAAGTAAAAAAAAAAAGTTGGCCATGCCCACCCAGTCACATTACACACACACACACACCCATCAAGCCATGCCCACAGAACCGGTAGTAACAAATTTTACATTTCACCAATGGCCCCACCAATTGCAAAGAGCAAAGGTCAGCTGAACAGTTGACTGGAGGAGTGGGATCTTCTGATTGTCTCCTCCCAAAAGTGGTAGGAAAAACTCAAAGGTCGGTCTCTGGGGTGCACTATCGTATCCTCAAAGTGTCTCCTGCAGCCCTCCAGGTAGTCAAGGAACCAAGCTGTAGCCCCCAGCTTTGGACACCTGTCCCTTTTCTCTTTGCAACGTTGGTTCCTTTCTCGCCTTCCTCATCACAGGGCTCTGGTTGCCCTTGAGATCAGAGGCAATGGGGCCCACTGTGCTGGCATGATGGGAGAGAACAGCTCAATCAGATTAACAGATTAACAGAGTTGGAAGGGACCTTGTAGGTCATCTAGTCCAGTGGTCCCCAACCCCCGGTCCGCGGACCGGTGCCGGGCCATGGAGTACCTGGCACCGGGCCGCGCAGCGGCCGGGGGACATGAACGCTGCAGCGCAAAGGCTCCTGGGCTGTGTCCCCACCCCTGCGCGCGCTCAGCGGGCCGCGGCGATAAAAAGGTTGGGGACCACTGATCTAGTCCATCCCACTGCCCAAGAGGGACACCCTACTCCATTTCTGACAGACAGCAGTCCAGTCTCTTCTTGAAAGCCTCCAGTGATGAAGCTCCCACAACTTCCGAAGGCAACTTCTGTTCCTTTGGTGGAATGTTCTCACTGTCAGAAAATTCCTCCTTATTTCCAGGTTGAATCTCTCCTTGATCAGTTTCCATCCGTTGCACCTTCTCCTGCCTACAGGTGCTTTGGAAAATAGCTTGACCCCCTTCCTCCCCTCTCTGTCGTAGCCCCTCAGATATTGGAAGATGCTATCCTGTCTCCCCTGGTCCTTCTCTTCACGAGACTAGCCAGGCCCAGTTCCTGCAACAAAGTCACTCACCAAACATGGCTTCTATTTTTGTTTCCATAAATGCAATCACGTTGTCTGAGGCTGGGCATATCTGGAAGGCAAGGGAAAGAGAGAAAGGAGAGATGGTTGGACAAGAACAGCAGATGTGGTTGCAGCTGGACCCCCCAAGAGGTGGGGCCTGGATGCAACCTTCGATGCAGATTGATTTATTTTATTAATACCAGAATGCAGAATAACAGAGTTGGAAGGGAATTTGGAGATCTTCTAGTTGAAGCAGGAGAACCTAGACCATTTCAGACAAATGGCTGTCCAATCTCTTCTTGAAGACCTCCAGTGATGGAGCACCCACAATGTCTGGAGGCAAGTCCTTCCACTATTTAATTGTCCACCCTGTTGGGAAATTTTCTTCATGGTTCTAGGTTGCTTCTCTCCTTGATTAGTTTCCATCTATTGTTTCTTGTTCTGCCCTCAGGTTCTTTGGAGAATAGGATGGGTCCCCTCTTCTTTGTAGCAGCCCCTCAAACATTGGAGGACTGCTATTATATCACCCCTATTCCTCCTTTTCATTAAATAAAGCATACCCAATTCCTGCAACCGATCCTTGTGGCAAGATCCTTGGTAGTACAGTGGTTTAAGGCACCCTGTTATTAAGCTGGTTATTAAGACCAGCTGCCTGCAATTACTGCAGGGTTCGAATCTCGCCAAGGCTCAAGGTTGACTCAGCCTTCCATCCTTTCTAAGGTAGGTAAATTGAGGACCCAGTTTGTGGGGGCAATAAGCTGACTTTGTATAAATATACAAAAGTATGAAGGCTATTGCTGAGCACATTGTAAGCCGCTCTGAGTCTTTGGAGAAGGGCGGCATATAAATCAAATTAAAAAAAAAAAGATGAACGGCAAACAATTTTAATGAATAAAATAAGAAATTGAAAACATATCGATTGATATGGCCATCCAGCTCACCAACGAGGCTCATTGACTCTGCTGGTCACCTATCTTCTGAAAGGTGAGCAGAGATGGGGCCAGCTGAATCTCAGGCAGGAGGGTCTTCCATGGGGCAAGCCCAACTCCAGAGTCCCATGCGTAGGTTAACAATCCCAGCTAGATGGGATCGGGAGTGTGCCCCTCCTGCCCAAATCTAACGGGGCAGGTAGAATCTAGGTAAGCAAGGAGACCTTCCCTCAAACGGCCCCAGCCGCATCCTTCATGACTCTATAAACTCAATGTCCCAAAACTTACCATGCCAGGCAAGAGTTTCCCAAGTGTAGAATTCAAAAATCTAATCGCTACCTTTGGAAGCATCCTGAAAGAGAAGAGAAGCAAACCCAAGAAATTAGTAAAGTAATTCATTTGAGGGCAACGCAATGCAATGTTTTTTCAAGGCCCCAAATCTCTGTTTTAGTTTTGTCTCAAAGACTGTTGAGGCATTAATGATGGATGGATGGGCGGGTGGGTGGAGGGATGGATGGATAAAGGGATGGAGGGATGGAGAGAATAACTTACAATAACTTTATTTTCATTTTAAATGTACACTAATTGGCATACGTTAAAATGAAGTTTCATTGCATGGAGGGATGAGGGGGGATGGAGGGATTGAGAGATGGAGGGATGGAAGAATAAAAGGATGGAGGGATGGGGGACAGAGGATGGAGAGATAACAGAATGGAAGGATGGAGTAATGAGAGATGAGGAATGGAGGGATTAATTAACTATCTGGTTTAATTTGCGTCTGACTGAGATGAAGCAATATTTAAACCACTCTGGTAATTTTACCAAGGAAGCTTCATAAATAGAAAATATAAAATGATTGATGATAACAGTGCTGAATGATGGGCCTCTCAAGATATTATGAAGAAGAAGGTTTATGACGCTGGTAGATCAAACCCACATAGGAAAAGAAAACATTATCTGCAAGGATAAAATTACAGGAGGAACATGGACTGAGAAGCATGAAGATATGCTTCTCCTTCCTTCCTTCCCTCCCTCCCTCCCTCCCTCCCTTCCTCCCTCTCTCCCTTCTCTCCCCTCCTCCTTCCTTCCTTCTTTCTTCCTTCTCTCCCTCCACTCCTTCCTTTCTTCCTCTGTTTATCCGCCCTCCGTTCTCCTTCCTTCCTGCCTCCTCCTTCCATCCCTCCATCTCCTTTCTTCCTCCCTCCCTCCTTCTTTACTCTCCCTGAGCCATGGTGCCGCAGTGGTTAGAGTGTAGTACTGCAGCCTACTTCTGCTGACTGCTGGCTGCCTGCAATTTGGCACTTCAAATCCCACCAGGCTCAAGATCGACTCAGCCTTCCGTCCTTCTGAGGTGGGTAAAATGAGGACCCCAGATTGTTGGGGGGCAAGAGGCTGACTCTGTAAACCGTTTAGAGAGGGCTGTAAAACACTGGGAAGCAGCATATAAGTCTAAGGGCTATGGCTATTATTTACTGTCAAACCTGCCTGCATGTTAGCTGTTACGTTGTCAAGTCTTTTCTTTCTTATCAGGACTGAGCATCAAAGACTTATTTACGTAGCTACATCAACTTGCAAACCCTGGGAGGATGGCGTGAACCAGGGCAACAGCCTATTGTTAGGAAAAGTGTGTGCTACAATTAAGCCTTTGGTGCAGCTCTGCTCTATGCTATGTTATGTCCAGGCCTTGGAAAACAAAGAATCTTCATACATTGTACTTGTGAGAGTGACTCCTTCTCGTCCCCAGATGTCAATATGGATTCGCAACAACATGCACATTTTTAAATATTTGTGCTGGGGGGGCGATGCTGTGCAGTGGGGAGGAGGAGGAGGAGGAGGAGGAGGAAGTAGAAGATGAAGAGGAGGACAAGGACGAGGAGGAAGAACAAGAAAGAAGAGAGAGGAGGAGGAGGAGGAGGAGGGAGGAGGAGGAGGAGGAGGAGGAGGACTGTGGGTTCCTTGGTGCTCTCTGAGCTTGGCTGTTTTCTTGCAGACGTTTCATTACTCATCTAGAGAACATCATCAATGTTAGAAGGGAGTGTGGTTTGCAGAATGATGGAGGAGGAGAGGGGGAGGATGACAACGACTGTGGGGTTGTTGTTGATCCCTAAGCTTGGTAGTTTTCTTGCAGACGTTTCATTTCCCAAGTCATCATTAATGCTAGAAGGGTGTGGATTTGCAGTGGGGAGGAGGAGGAGGAGGAGGAGGAGGAAGTAGAAGATGAAGAGGAGGACAAGGACGAGGAGGAAGAACAAGAAAGAAGAGAGGTGGAGGAGGAATAAAAGCAGGAAGAAGGAGGAGGAGAAGAGGAGGACAAGGACGAGGAGGAAGAACAAGAAAGAAGAGAGGAGGAGGAGGATCCCACTTCCTTCCTTAAGGCTATTCTGCCTATTACGAAATTCCTGCTTTTGGATCTTCTTGGACATTGGATACTAGTGGAACAGTCTGATTTCCAAGAACTGGGGATCAAGATGAGGAGAAACAGGCCACCACACAACCAAAGAGTGGAGACTCTTGTCCCTCAGACTTCCTGGAGGTCACCTGCATTGTAATTCTCCACTTCTGTGATGGCTCCTCAGCGACACCTTCCTCCTCCTTCATATATCATTCGAACCCCTTTGTTTCTAAGTAGATGCAGATTCCTAAATCCTTGGCTGAATCCCACAAACCAACTTCCCCAAACCAATTTGGTTGCCTCCCTTGTTGGTGCGTCTTGTTTCTTCTCACTTGCTGGGAATGCTGGTTTTGTAGGACAACAGATGCACTTCACATCCGGTTTTCTCTATCCCATGTACTTCGTGGGGTGCTTTGTCATCTTAATCATGATGTTCATTTTGGAATGCAGGGTGATATCCAAATTGCCAACCATACTGCACAAAAGACAAGAGAGTCAGTCTAACAGAGGTCCAATGTCCAATCTACAAGTGGTCTAATGTCCAGGTTTTTATATTTACCCTTAGAACAGCATATTTCCTTATGTTCTAGGCAGGATTCTCCATTCAGTTGGGTGAATAAGTCCCCCAAACATCTCAAAGCCATCGTGGACCACCTCTATCTTCCAGGTCCTTGACCAAGAACAAAACAAGCTTCCCACTCACCTTTTCCCACCAACTGTGAGGGTAGTAATCACGGATGCCTCAATATTCTGGGGTGGAATTAACTTTGTGCAAATTTCTGGGGGTTTCAGATCTTTAAGTTTCATCCTATGAATTAAAGAATGATAGCATGAAAAATAGAAAAGGAAGGCATCTATAGAGATTCTCAGTCAACCAGGTCATGGTTGTCCCAAAGGTGCTTTTTCAAGAGGCAACTGGACTTTCTGATTTTTCTTTGAAGACAGATTTGTACATTGGGGAAACAAAACAGTCACTTCACAAACGCATGGCACAACATAGGAGAAAAAGGAGAACAAATCCATCAGGACGAGATTCAGCAGTCCATCTGCATTTAAAAGACAAATGCCACTCTTTTGAAGACAGCAAAGTCCATATTTTGGACAGAGAGGACTGCTGGGTTGAAAGAGGGGTCAAAGAAGCCATCTGTGTCAAAACTGAACAGCCCTCTCTCAACAGAGGGGGAGGAATACAACATCATCTATCTCCAATCTCTAAACACTGATCTTTCAGCAGTTCCAATGAGGCACCACACCCACTACTCAGGTGACCCTGAGGACACAGACAAACCTCCAGGTGGCCTCAAAGACCCTCTAAATGAGTGCAAATGACCAACTGTCTGCAAGCAGTAGAAATCCTTCCATTCCCCACCATCCAGTCAGAGCTGAAGAAGCTTCTTGGATGGGAAGCGAAACCTCTTCTAAGAAAATCCAGAAAGTCCAGTTCTTCTTGAAAAAGCACTTTTGGGACAAAGGAAGGCATGTTTGATGATGGGGTGAACTGGGTGAGGACCTGGTTAGATGCTTAGAAGTTGCCTACAAATACTAAGTAGTAATTTTATTTATTTTATTTTATTTTATTATTTTATCCAATAAAATTATTTTATTTTATCTGATTTATATACCTCCCTTCTCCCTGAGGACTCAGGGCGGTGTACAGCCAAATGAAAACATAAACTACAAACATTAAAATACTATTAAAAAGATATATATAAATTTGGCCCTATAATTAAAAACAATAACAAACCAATTAAAAACATTTAAAAGTGTTAGGCCAGCCCGGCTTGCTGGAAAAAGTGGGTTTTAAGGGCACGGAGGAAGGCACCGAGGTCTTGGATTCTCCTTATCTCTGGGGGCAGCTGATTCCAGAGGGTGGGAGCCCCCACAGAGAAGGCCCTCCCCCTGGGGGTCACCAGCCTACATTGTTTGGCTGATGGCACCCCAAGGAGGCCCTCTCTGTGGGAGCGCACAGGTCAATGGGAGGCAGTCGGTAGCAGCAGGCGGTCTCGAAGATATCTAGGCCCTATGCCATGGAGCGCTTTAAAGGTGATAACCAACACCTTGAAGCACACCCGGAAGACCACCGGGAGCTAGTGCAGCTCACGCAGGAGAGATGTTGTATGGGAGCGCCATGCAGCTCCCGTAACTACCCGTGCGGCCGCATTCTGGACCAGTTGGAGCCTCCAGGTGCCCCTCAAGGGGAGCCCCATGTAGAGAGCATTGCAGTAGTCCAGGCGAGAGGTGACAAGGGCATGAGTGACTATGCGCAGGGCATCCCGATCAAGAAAGGGCCGCAACTGGCGTATCAGGCGAACCTGACAAAAAGGTCCCCCTGGCTACAGCCATCAGATGTTCTTCCAAGGACAGCTGCGTATCCAGAAGGACACCCAGATTGCGAGCCCCTTCTGTGGGGGCCAATGCTTCGCCCCCAATAGTCAGCGATGGCACCAGCTGACTATATCGGGATGCCAGGAACCACAGCCACTCAGTCTTGGAAGGGTTGAGTCTGAGCCGGTTTCTCCCCATCCAGATCCGCACAGCCTCCAGGCACCGGGACATTACTTCAAGGGCATCGTTGGGGTAAGAGTTTTGTACATGTTGTTAGGAAGATCACGAACTCAACGAAATATATTTTTGGCTTCTCTGAGCTGTGTTTCAATCATGCTCTCATCACTAACTTTCTAATCAGGGGAATGATAAGATGATGAGTACCATCTCGAGTGACTCCTGATTCTCAATGTCCTTTCAGATGGTCACTAATCTTATGCCTTTGTGGATGGACTGTCATCTATGGTTTGCAGAATACAGACAGTCAGAGATGGAAAGGACCTTGGAGTTCTTCTAGTCCAACCTCTTCTCCAAGGCAGGAGACCTCATACCATCCCAACAAATGGCTGTACAGACAAGTTTAAATACAAGATTAAACCTTCCCGTTCTTCATTGATTCTGCTGTTGCATGTCAGCGCTTCAATGCTGGCATAGAGAGCAGAGGAGAGCGAGATAAGCTCTGAACTTTTGCCTGCTAAATCTCTTTGAAGTCGGGTTGTCGTGGAAATGAGGAGGGGGGACATTCCTGGGAAATGACGAGACAAGAAGTCTGAAGAATGACTTGGAAGATAGCCAATGAGAAGCAGAGATTTGGGGATCGGAAAGGGAGGGATTGGGGGGCAAAAGGTCAGTCTTGTCCGCATCGAGTCATGATCCGGTGGCTGTGCTCAATTAAAGAAAAGATTTCCTTAAAGATTGGCAGTTTGGAAATTCATTTATTTTGAGATAGCATCGAAGTCTGACATTGCAGACAGGCATTCTGACTAGGAACCGAGGTCTTGCCCTCCATCCAGATCTGTTGGGTCTTCAACCATTGGCTGGAAAATTGGGGATCTCCACCCCAAGATCTCTAGAAGCCTGCTGGGGTCAAAAGCCAGACTCCTCCTTTACTACCACAGAGGAAATGAATCAACTCACCCTTTGACGCCTTTTATGGCCTTATTCTTGCTTGCCATTTTTGCCATCCCATCCAAGTTCTGTTTGTCTGTCATGGCCATCTGGAGGACTAAAACACAGACACAAAGAACCGATGCTCAACCAAAGCCAAGAGACTTTGTACCATGAGGAGGCCCACCCCAGGACTAGAGGGAGGGCACCGCATCTCCCATCACAGCTCCTGGATCCCTTTTCCATCACCACTAACACTGGAAGCGAAGACTCTACTACTTAGAGCCCTGATGGCGCAGTGGTTGGAATGCAACATTATGGGCTAATTCTGCCGACTGCCAGCAGTTCGATCCTGCCCGGCTCAAGGTTGACTCAGCCTTCTGTCCTTCTGAGGTCAGTAAAATGAGGACCCAGATTGTTGGGGGCAAATAGGCTGACTCTGTAAACTGCTTAGAGAGGGCAGGAAAGCACGGTGAAGTGGTATATAAGTGCTATTGCTATATTTTCCTTCCTTCCTTCCTTCCTTCCTTCCTTCCTTCCTTCCTTCCTTCCTTCCTTCCTTCCTTCTGCTATCTTCCACTTGGGGGAAGAGAAGAAAAAAACAGAGGTGTAAATAAATTTATTATATAATAAAAGTGTTAAATGAACAAGATTGTATGTTCAAGAAACCAGATGGATGGATGGATAGATGATGGATGGATGGATGGATGGATGAATGGATGGATGGATGGAAAAGAAGGAAGGAAGGAAGGAAGGAAGGAAGGAAGGAAGGAAGGAAGGAAGGAAGGAAGGAAGGAAGGAAGGAAGGAAGGAGGAGCCTTGGTGGTGCAGAGGACTAAAGTGCTATTAAAGTAGCACTTAGTTGCCAGCTGCCTGCAATTACTGTGAGTTCAAATCTCACCAGGCTCAAGGTTGACTCAGCCTTCCATCCTTCCGAGGTCGGTAAAATGAGAGGGCAATAAGCTGACTTTGTATAAAAAAAAGAACACCGCTTAGAGGGGGGCCGAAAGCCCTACTAAGCAGGTATATACAAAAGTATGAAGGCTATTGCTTAACGCATTGTAAGCCACCCTGAGTCTCCAGAGAAGGGCGGCATATAAATCGAACCAATAAATAAACAATAAATAAGGAAGGAAGGAAGGAAGGAAGGAAGGAAGGAAGGAAGGAAGGAAGGAAGGAAGGAAGGAAGGAAGGAAGGAAGGAAGACTTTTCTATCTGCACCTATATACTATTAAACTGCCTCTGTTTGTTTATGAGTAACCTTTAACTGGACAAAATAATTGACCGAAGGGCATTTTTTAAAATTAAGGTACCCCAAATGAGCTAACTTAGAAAATGTATCCAAAGTCTGGGACATACAACTTTTGTGGGATTAAAATTTGGCAAGTTGCATCCAACATTTAATGACAAATATTATAATAAAGCCATTGATGACATCAAACAAAATATCATAAACCATTTCCTGTGGTCCCTCCTGGATGTCTCTATAGTTCCACGCAGGCTACTCTCAAGTTAGATCCATCCCTGAATACCTCCCTGAATAAGCTAGTCAACCCAACATTACGCCAACCTATGCAAGCTTTGTGCTGAAAAAGTTTGCTCTTTTACTTACTGTGTGTGATTGCTTTGGGGTCAATTTTTAGCTGAGGCCCGTATGTCTCTCCGGTTTCCGACTGGATCATCCCAACACAGAAGAAGACCAGCAACCCAACCCAGAGTCCCTTGAGGGCTTCATCCATGGTGGCTGAGCTCCTTCTAAGCAACAGGCTGAGAGAGAGTCAGAAACGAATCCTTGGCTGTGAAAAAGTGGAATAAGAACAGCAATATTTACATTCAGGGTTTCAGAGCTGAGGGGAAGAGGGGAAGGGGAGCCATTTAGCCTCAAATTAAAGCCATCCTCAAATAAATAATCACATTATTCAGTTTCCATCCATTGTTCCTTGTCTGGCCTTCAGGTGCTTTGGAGAATAGCTTGACCCCCCTTCCTCCTCTCTCTGGCAGCCCCTCAGATATTGGAAGGCTGCTCTCCTGTCTCCCCTGGTCCTTCTCTTCACTAGACTAGCCATGCCTAGTACTTGCAACTACTAGTACTTGCAACCATTCATCTTCTAGAAGGACAGAGCCAAATACTTGATAGGTACCCCAACTCAAGGGACAGAGCCCAGAAGTATTGAATGACTGTCCATAGAAAAGGCAACTGGAGGAAACTGACTGAACAATTTTTAAAAGAGTGAGAACCTCAGTTTACAACTCTGCAGGAGAAGACATGGGTGGCCCCTTCTAAACCTCCTGGAACACGTCATAGTTGCACCCCAAACTCTGGAGCTACAGATGTGGGAATGGCTGGAGAGAGTCATAACAATGCAACCCAAATCTTACATATCCATCAACTTTCCCAGGAGGGGCCTCTTCCACCATCTAGGTAATCTTTGGGCCATCACACAGTTGACTTACATGTCTGGATGGATGGAACTTCCTCGGTGTGCTCAGATCTTTCCTCACTAATCTTCTCTTGGGCTGCCAGTTATATAGTTGCCCGTGAATGAAAGAACCAATTCAGAGCTTTGATAACCACGGAGATGTGATACAAACTCACAAGGAGATCTTCCAAGATAAATATTTTTCACGAACATCTTGAAGCTTAGAGGCATTCTTCAGTGCCAGGTTATGTGACTCTTCCAAAGATCTACTCAATCAACACCTTGGCTTCGAGAATGTTGGTTGTCCACCCAGAATGAGAGAGAAAAGGAAAAAAGAGGAAAAAATTCAACAATGTTGGCAACCCTGGCACCTTGAAGAGACGTGGACTTCAAATCCCATAAGTCTGGGAATTGAAGTTCACATATCTTCAAGGTGCTGTAGGAAGAAATATCCTTCTGGGTTGAGCTCCAAGTGGGGAAAAAGACACTGGAAACATGGAGACTGCTTGGAAAGATGGTTTAATGGTGGACAGGATCACATGGTTTGAGTTCCTGAACAGAAAAGGGGCGAGATGCAGCGAGTCCCCGGGTTTTATGCTCTCTCTGGCTTTGAACTTCCTGGGGGCCTGAAAGAGTATCCTGATTGGTTGTCAGACTCCCAGTGGGTGGGGGTCTTAGCTAGCCTTGGTGGCTGATGTAATCTTCCCAGGTGCCATGTGGTGAGTTTCTGTTGCTAGATGGGTCCTATTGTGTTGCAGATGATGGTCCATTTACAAAGGTGGGAGGGAATTGAGTTTCTGCCTGTGGCCCATTAACAAAGGGTGGGGGGCAGGAAGGTGGGAGCTGCTTCGTCTTTAAAACATGCTTCTCCATTTCTCATCCAGGGAAACATAATATTCTGCCTTTTTAATATTTCCCAAAATATTTCATTCTTCTAGGAAAGGGATGGGTGCTAACTTCCTACAGTGCCAAGGTTGAGAAACACTGTGCTACATCAAATCATGGTTTATTAGGTTTTGGCTTAGTGTGTTATGTAACCTATCAGCAAGTATCAGAATCAGAATGGAAGGGACCTGGGAGCTGTGGCGAAGGCATTTTGTTTATGAATAGATTGGACCAGTCTTTCTGAATGGGTACACAATCTGTATTCCTGAAGGCCTTTTCAAATTTCTTAGCCTGAAGCTATTTTCCTAGGGCAGGAGGACAGGAGCTGCTTTCTGCCTTCCTTAAGATTTTTCTCCAACTAGCAGAAACAGAAGTTAGAAATGTAAAAGCCTAAAAGAATGATTCATTACATAAGGAAGGATTCACTAAAATGGATGAGCAAATACTATTTTGTTACGTGATCATTATTAATGTTATGAATATTATCGTTACTATTATGATTACTATTTCTTAAAATTCATTGTACTCAGACAACACACTGCCTATGCAGAGACTGAATTTTTTTACGTTTAATAAAAATCTTTTAAACCTTAAAAAAGAAAAGATTTTTCTCCATTTCTCCTTTGGTGAAATATTCTTCTTTTTTTTTTTTGGAATATTTTTTTTTTATTTTTATACATCTCATTTCGTGAATGGTTTGATTACCTGGTTTCATACATTCCAACATATATAATCATAACATTATTATTCTTAATAATTGCAGTCCAGTTTCATTTTTGAATTTACTAACATATAGTCATCTTTCAACTCTAAATCTTCTCATAATTCTATCATACTTCATATCCTCTTAATATCTATTTTTACTGTTTTTCCCCTCATATTTCTACTTCCATTTTAGCCCCCCCTTTCCCCCCCTTCCTTTGGGGAAATACTCTATCCTGCCTCTTTTTAATATTAAGAATACAGAATATTTTAATCTGTGAAGGGGGGAAGGCTTACTACAGGATATAAATGTGATAAACAGTCATAAATCACTTCTTTCAATGTCCTTGTAACTTTGGGCACTAAATAGAATAGAATAACAGAGTTGGAAGGGACCTTGGAGGTCTTCTAGTCCAGAGGTCACCCACTGGTGGTCCATGAGAAAATTTTGGTGGTCCGCAGAAACATTATTTGCATTTTTTATATTGCACTGAATCCGGGGTCCTCAAATTACGGCCCCTGGGACGGATACGTGCAATGAACGTTTGTGTTGCTGCAGAGAGTCTCTCCCTTCGGGGTCTTTTTGTGCGGGTCGGAGGGGGGCAGGAATTCTGACTTGGGGTCTGCTTCTGCCTCCTGGTGTGGGGCTTTGGGTGAAGGCTGGTGGGAATCACTGCTGGTGGCAAAGAGCCGGAGGGCCTCGTTCCAGTGGGACTGCATCATGGCCTGGAACTGGTTGACCATCTCAGCCCACTGAGCCTCCAGGCGCTGATACCTGGCCTTGCACTCCCGCAGGTCTTCCCTCTGCTTGGAAAGCCTATGCTCCTAGTCCTCAGTGAGGTGCTTCTGCTGAGCCTCCTTCTCGATCAGATCCAAGCTGTTTTGCCAACTCTTTCTCCTGGTGGCTGCTTAGCTCCAACAACTGCTTCCTATTGGGGCCATAAGGAGACCGGGCGGGCAGGTGAGGAGTGGCTGGGAAGGGAGGGACGAGTAGAGGCTGGCGAGGTGCCCCTTGACATGAGTGACATTGAGTTGGCCACGCCCACCCAGTCATATGACCACCTAGCCACACCCACCCAGCCGGTCATTAGGCAGATCGTATTAGTGGTCCGCGGGATTTAAAATTATTAATTTAGTGATCCCTGAAGGTCCGAAAGGTTGGGGACCCCTGCTCTAATCCAACCCCCTGCTTAGGCAGGAAACCCTACACCACTTCAGACAAATGGTTGTCCAATCTAATCTTAAAAGCTTCCAGTGTTGGAGCATTCACAGCTTCTGGAGGCAAGTTGTTCCACTGGTTAATTGTTCTCACTGTCAGGAAATTTCTCCTTAATTCCACATTGCTTCTCTCCTTGGTTAGTCTCCATCCGTTGCTTCTTGTCCTGCCCTCGGGTGCCTTGGAGAAGAGCTGGACTCCCTCTTCTTTGTGGCAGCAAATGAACTGTAGACACTTGAGGCAGACCTTCCTGTTCTATCTCAGTGTCCGTTTTCCCGAGTCCTGAGCAAGAATACTCAAAGCTTTCTCTTAGCAGTTGTCTGACAACCAGCTTAAATTCCATTTTGGAGGGTTTAGCAGCTTTTATCTGATCTGGAGGGAGGATTTTAGCATTAGCGGGATTTTAAGAACCTTCAAGAGGCAAACCGAAGATGCTTTCATGGCTGGTAAAACGATCCCCTCACCAACATCCTCATTGGAAGGATAAAGATCCTCTGTGTGAAAGCACAAAGACTTCTCAGCGGATGATAAGGCGTCGGCTTCGTTCCCACTTAACTCTCTCGATTTCCATCCCTTGTGACTAAGTTGTTCATGCATCCCAGCTTTTGTGCCGAGCTTTTGTCTCCCAAAGTGTGCGGGCAAAACGATTTGGTGAGCTCTTGCGACTCTTTAAAGCAGCTGCTTCTTTCTGCCAAAGTGTGGGACCTTGGAACCCCCTGCTCAAACAAGGAGACCCTATACCAGTGATGGCTAACATTTTTGCCATTGTGTGCCAAAATCAGGGGAAATACGGGGGGGTCACCTGCGCACGTGCCCACACCCATAATTCTATGTACACACACACACACACCCGTGTATGCACGCATGGCACACCTGCGCTTCCCCCACTTTTGGCACATAATGGCACGGGGGGGGGCGGTAGGCCCATTTTTCGCCCTCCCCAGGCTCCAGAGACTTTCTAGGAGCTTGGGAAGGGTGAAAACGGCCTTCCCTATCCCCGAGGCTGGAAAAAGCCCATTTCCCCACTTCTGGTAGGCCCAGAAGGCCTGAAAATCAGCTGCCCCAGCGAGCACATGCACACCGGAGCTGAGCTTGCATGCCCACTGATATGGCTCCGTGTGCAACCTGTGACACGCATGCCATAGGTTCGCCATCACGGCCCTATACCTTTTCGGACAAGTGGCTGTCCAATCTCTTCTTAAAACCCACAACTTCTGGAGGCAACTCATCCCACTGATTAATTGTTCTAACTGTTAGGAAGTTTCTCCACATTTTCAGGTTGCTTCTCTCCTTGTTCAGTTTCCATCCATTGTTTCTTGTCTTGCCTTCTGGCGCTTTGGACAATAAGTTAACCCCCCACACACACCTCAAATATTGGAACACTACTATCATGTCACCCCCACATCCTTCTTTTCACTAGACTATCCATGGTTCAAAATAACAGAATAACAGAGTTGGAAGGGACCATGGAGGTCTTCTAGTCCAACCCCCTGCAGAAACAGGAGGCTCTAAAGCATTTCTGACAGATGGTTGTCCAATCTCTTCTGAAAAACCTCCAATGATGGAGCACCCACAACTTCTGGAGGGCAGGGGTTTCACGGGTTAATTGTTCTCACTTGAGGTACCTCCATATAGATGAAGTTCCATTATGGACTACACAGCTGAATAGAGTTTGTCAGCTAATTGCAAATCCCCCTTTATGGTGATGCTATCTAGCCCACATTTTTTCTATCTTATCAAGAAGTAGGTTGTGGTCAACTTTCATGCCTAAAACAGGACTAGAACTCTCCGTCTCCAGGTGATTGGTACAAAGTCACCCAGATGGTTTTCATATTTAAGATGAGACTAGAACTCACCATCTCCAGGTGATTGGCCCAAAGTTACCCAGATGGTTTTCATATTTAAGACGAGACTAGAACTCACTGTCTCCTGGTGATTGGCCCAAAGTTACCCAGATGGCTTTCATATTTAAGGTGAGACTAGAACTCACCGTCTCCTGGTGATTGGCCCAAAGTTACCCAGATGGCTTTCATATTTAAGACGAGACTAGAACTCACCATCTCCAGGTGATTGGCCCTAAGTTACCCAGATGGCTTTCATATTTAAGGCAAGACTAGAACTCACCGTTTCCTGGTGATTGGCCCAAAGTTATCCAGATGGCTTTCATATTTAAGGTGAGACTAGAACTCACCATCTCCAGGTGATTGGCCCAAAGTTACCCAGATGGTTTTCATATTTAAGACGAGACTAGAATTCACCGTCTCCTGGTGATTGGCCCAAAGTTATCCAGATGGCTTTCATATTTAAGGTGAGACTAGAACTCACCG